CTATTCCTTAATCTAGACACGGGCTACGGTATGTTTTACATATCAACCACATACAACTTTGATTGTCATAATTGTGTTCTATAAACCACGAGGCATTATAGTAATTTATACATATAACGACATATTAACTTAGATTATACTTTTAATTAACTTAAAATTAAATTCCACCTATGGTCCGGTAATCATATCTGATAGGTGTGACACCTCGCCTAGGTGGTGGCGACCCTTGCTACTCTAGCTAGTCGTTATGCAAGTGGCAAACCACGTTGTTGTTACAGGCCGATTTACTAATATAAAAGCCCGCTTGCAACCTTTATACCTGCATTTGTGATATCTCGTTTATTATTTTAAGAGGACTCCATACAGAGAATACAGCGGTTTTATCACTTTTTCGAGAGAGTCAACTTTATTTGATCTTGTTGATGATAGAATCCCAACATTTTTACCGAATTATAAAAGAGAAAATTACTCGTGATCTAGCGTTTTAATTTTTTTGTTAATATCATTTTTAAAATTTTATATTCACTAGTAAACATCCCTATTTTTTTGGTTTTTAAAATGTTCAATAAATAGATTCAGATTTGCGTTATGAAAATTATTAAAACGCTAGATCACTTATAATTTTCTCCTTTTTAATTTCTTGAGAAATCGAATATTTTGATAACAATACAACTTGATAAAATTTGTATCGAGCAAAATAGTTTTTATGTGAAAAAATGAAATTTTGTCTATCGACATGTGTTAGTCCCTTGTGGCATTTATAACGTGACAAATTTTCTGTTGAGTGACGATAACCTATTATTCCCACCCTTTAACTACTCCCTCGCCAATGATCAAAACCAGTCATTTTATACTTTGTAAAAACATTGTTATTATTGACGAACGATGTATCTTTTGTGTTCAATGTGTTCATTTCTACAGGTAAATAATGATGATGCAAATATTATAAAAATATCTATTGACCGGAAATCTGTCTGAAATTTGCATGGTTTTTTTTTTTTTTTTTTGTCACATAGGAAAACATTCTTGTCGTGAATATGAGTATACAGCATACATTGTATTCAAGGGCGGCGGAACGGATCAACCGTCTTTTTACTAGATGATTTTTGATTAGCCAACGAAAATTAGATATTATTTCTGCAAAAACTTATTATTATACAAAAAAATAAAGATCATCAAGAAAAATTTGTGTATGAATTTAAAGTTAACCGGTCCTAAATTTATTTATAGGTAGTATAATTTATCACTTAAAAGACCTTTTTTGTGATTTTTAAGACTCACAAAAATTATAAATTGTTTAGTGCGTAATTATATATACTATTTATGCGTGTAAGCTCGACTGATGACTGTTTGAAATTACAGGATGACCTGAATAGATTTTCTGAATGGTCAAACTCAATGGGATTGTCACTTAATTTAACCAAATGCAATCATAGAACAAAACGTCCTATTGAGTTTAACTATAGTATTACTGAAGTAATTATCTCGCGTGAGTTAAACTCTATTACGGATCTAGGCTTTAAGTTTAGTTGTAATCTTGATCCTATGCTTCACATTGATTATGTTTGCTGTAAAGCATTTAAAGCGTTAGGTTTTATTATGCGTTTGGCCAAAGATTTCAAGCAACGACTTCCACTTAAAGTACTATTCTGTTCTATAGTCAGGCCTATTCTAGAATATGGTAGTGTACTGGGGATCCTTATACTGCCTTGGGCTCGCTACAGCTTGAGCGAGTTCAGCGAAAGTTGCTACGCTTTGTCAGCTACTCGCTCAACATAGCCTGTCCTAATCACGATTATGCCCCTGTCTCGAATTTGCTTGGCCTATGCTCATTAGCTGAGCGTAGACGCAATGCTGGAATTAATTTCTTAATTGGTTTATTGAATGGCAATATTGATTCGCGCGAGCCTAATGTGCCTAATATGTTTCAGAGTGCCTCGGCGAGCAACAAGAAATAATGCTCCATTTGTTGTCTCCCACTACCTAACTAATTATGCAAAAAATGAGCCACTTAGGCGTCTTATGTCTAATGCTAATGTCGACCTTAATTTTTTTCATTTTAATTTTGTATTTGCACCTTTATGTGTCAATAATTAATTTCATTTTATTTTGTATTTTTATCTTTGTGTTTAATAATTAATTTACGTATTTTTATTATATATCTTTGTCTATGTTACGATTATCTAATTTATGTACTTGTATTATTTGTAAAAAGGGCTTCTGCCAGTGAAATTATAAAATAAAAAAAAATCTTAAATTTCATAGGATAAAATTGGGAGTTTTACAAAAAATGTGTAACACGAATAATAGGCCTTGGCGTCATTGAACAGCGTTTTACAAATTTCAGATTGATTACAAATATATTTATGATACATAAAATTCTTCTTACACAATACATTTGTATTATTCAGTACGTATATGCATTATAGTGAGTATAAACTTAAATTTTATATGAGCAAATTTTTTTTTCGATTTGAAATAAAATCTGCTATAAATTCTTAGAGGAAAAATGCATTTACAATTTCCCCACTTAACTCTATCACCAAGTAACATATTTTTTGAATTCAGAGATAAACATTTTTAATTTCCATTTTTGCATATGTGACGTTTTTCACATCTAGCTTAGTTTAAGGTTTCTCATTAGTATGATTCTTTGGGAATTGAATTATGATGAAATTATAGAAAAATTATATATGATAAAGCGATTTTTGATTTTCTTGATAAATGTGAAATGGCGTTTATTTTACGATTCATATATCCGTTTGTGTATGATAATCAGTATAAACAAATGTATACAGAGTGATTTTTTTATCATAACCCACTCAATTACTTACAGAATAATAATAATTCAAAAATTTAATTTTTTTATTATCTTTAGTTACACATTATTCTTGAATTTTTAATTATGTAATACTTTTTAAGTTCATCCCTTATGCCTTGGAAGGGGGTCAACTTTGTTTTTTTAAATGGTAACACATATTTTTAATTAAATAAAATGTTTGAGTTTTTAATTTAATAGTAAATGGCATTTGAATTTTTAATATAACTTAATTCGTTTATTAGATATAATCATTTAAAGTTTCAAATTTTTGAATTAATATACAGGTATAATACACAAGGGATTACAAATATAGGTAGCTAATTGGTTTTTTATAACATCGATATAAGCAGGTACACAGCATTGTTATTATCAATTGTAGTAAGGTACATTATTATGAGTTTATAAATACACAAACTGACAATACAGAAAGTATATCTATTGATAGTCATAATTGATAATAAACACTTCGTGACTGTGAAAGCAATGTCATAAAAATCCAATTGCTACCTGTATTTGTAATCCCTTGTGTATTATACATGTATATTAGCTCAAAAATTTGAAACTTTAAATGTTTATATCTAATAAACTAATAAAGTTATACTAAAAATTCAAATGCCATTTACTATTGAATTAAAAATCCACACATTTTATTAAATTCAAAATATGTGTTCCCATTTAAAAAAAACAAAGTTAACACCCTTACAAGGCATAAGTGATGAACTTAAAAAGTATTACATAATTAAATACTCTCTGTATTGTCAGTCAGTGTATATATAAACTCATAACAATGTGCCTTACTACAATTGATAATAACAATGCTGTGTACCTGCTAATATCGATGTTATAAAAAACCAATTAGCTACCTATATTTGTAATCCCTTGTGTATTATACCTGTATATTAATTCAAAAATTTGAAAGTTTAAATGATTATATATAATAAACGAATTAAGTTATATTAAAAATTCAAATGCCATTTACTATTAAATTAAAAATATGTGTTACCATTTAAAAAAACAAAGTTGACCCCCTTCCAAGGCATAAGGGATGAACTTAAAAAGTTTTAAATAGTTAATAACTCAAGAATAATGTGTAACTAAAGATAATCATAAAAAAAAATTTTTAATTATTATTATTCTGTAAGTAATTGAATGGGTTATGATACAAAAATCACTCTGTATAAATATAATAAAAATTGATCATTTGTGGCTAATTAATTAAATAAAATTTAAATTATATTAAAAATATTATTAATTTGAAAACTAATCGCTCTCACTAAATTACAGTAAATTAAAGACGATTGTGTCGTGGATAGCAGCACTGCAGATAAAAAGATATAAAAAACCTTTTTCTCTTTTCTCGGACGAAAAGAGTCGATTTATAATCGGCTAAAATTTCTATTATTAATTCCCTAACAATTTCAATTATATCCTATGTTTAAACTTAACTAAGTACCAACTACATACATAGAACTAGATATTATTATTATAGATTTCATATAACACAAAAAACTACATAGAGATGATGATTTATAAAATGTTTTTTTTATAGTTATCAATAAATTATCAACTACAACTGTGGTACACCTGACAATTTAACATTTCAAAATTATTTTTATTCTGTTAATAATTGAGTAGGTAATGATAATATATAAATTTCTGTATAAACACACTATACAAACTTAAAAGAATAAAGAATATAGGAACCTGGTACATAAAAACAATTATATAGTAGTATTAAACTATTTGGTTAAAAGTACGTTTTGTTAAATCAACCTCAGATTGTAGTTAATAAACTATAATGCGAGGTATTATTAGTAATATTTTACCAGCATAAGAAATAATTTTCAATGCAAATAAGCCTATGTTCCGTTAAAAAATATTACAGTCAAAATGTTGTATTACTTTCATGCGTGTGACTATTCAATAATTCTATATATTATTCTATAATAATTCTTAATGTGTCACTTATACAACAAAACGATGTTTACAAAATCTAATTTTATAAAAAAAGCTTTTTTTTAAATAGTCGTTTAAAATTTAAATTTAACATTAAATCCTAATAGGTATTTAGGTATTATAAAGAGGCAGATTTTATATCTTCTCTAATCTCTTCTAATTACACTCAATAAAAGAAAAAATGTATATATATTTACATAAAACATTTCTATAAATTATTTTATACTTTATTTATATAAAAAAAAATGTTATATTTTAAAACGAAATAATTGTAAGTAGCAATTATTAACAGATTGAAAATGAACACAAATTGTGGATAAATTAATTCATTAATATATTCATATAGGTAGGCAGTATATAAATCAAATAAAAATGATTAAAGATCCAAATTTTCTTCGATATAACGAATGTCTCTGACGAGTTTACTAAACTGTGAAGGATCTAATGAGCATATGTGGTCTGATCCTTTCATATTTCTATCTAATGTAATGTGCCTCTCAATTATCTAAGTCAAAAAATAAAAATCACATCAGAATTACTTATAAATTAAAAATTTAAAGTAAAATTTTTTAGTTATATATTCATAGACTCAATTTTACTACATTATTGTAGGGACTATTTTATTTTAATTTATTTTTTGCCTACCAAAAAATATTATTGCATAAAAATAAATATATATAGTTATTCTGAATTTCAAGAGACTATGCTTCTTCATACCACCTCCCCCCTAAAAAAACGTACCTGTGAATATATTTTTTTATAAAACTAATGATTCGCAATGTTGAATAGCTCAAAGAACTGAATAAGAAACATTCTTATTTTATGAATACTTACTTTGGCTCCGAGAGCTACAGAAGCAGTCGTTATACATGAGCCGATCTCGTGCCCTGAATATCCTATAAAAATATTTGGAAAGCATTTGCGTAACGTTTTAATCATATTAATATTTGCTTCTTCAGGCGGTGTAGGATATGCCGATACACAATGTAACAGAGCAAATTTATTATGATATCGGTTTACAACTTGGTATGTAATATGTATATCGTCTAATGTTTGCATTCCAGTAGATATAACTAAGGGTATGTTGGCTTTAGCCGCCTTTTCGAGTAGTTGAACGTTACCCGACTCGCCTGAACCAATTTTGATAAAAGGTACTTTAAGACTCAATAAAAAATCAAGTGACGCCTGTAAGAAAATATACAATTTATTACTCAATTATCCGTATTATATAATTTTTTACAAAAATTATTTTGTATTAATTAATTATCGTTTTCGGAGTTTTACTATAAAATTATAATCGCTAAAACTACTTAAATTATAATAAAAAAGGTGGCTATTTATCCCCTAGACAGATGAGAAACAATGATCCACATTAAATAAATTACTGATAATAAACATTTAAATTAAATCATTATGTAGAGTGATTATATCCAAACTGTTCTGAATCAATTGATATAATTGTATTATAATGTAAAAAAAAACCTGTACTAGGTAAAAATTACCTAATATAAATTATTTAGGATAAAATGTTTTACCGTATTATAAAAATCTATAAGGATATAAAATTATGATTTTCCAATTATTATATTACCCTAATTAAAAATCGATTTTTATATTAAAGTGACATACTTTAAAATAGTTTTAAAAATATTATTTTTAGTACTTTTCGTTCAGTAAAAATGAAAAATAAAAATTTTATTTTACTCTCATAAGAGTTAATTCATTTTTTGATACGCTTTTCTAATCTTAAATTTTTAAAAGTTAACATTACTTTTTCTATTGAAAGTTATTAGCCAATATGTTCTAAAACTGTATTTAAATGTATCTAATTATATTTTTTAAAAAATTACCAGATTACAACTTACCAGATCCATTGCAGACGATGTAAAATGTATGCCAACTTTTTTGACTGCGTACTTTTTTAATTCTCTAAACTGTTCATCAGAAAACTCCAAAAATTGTTTATGTTCTCCGTAGGTAGCACCAAAAGAATTTTTGCTTACATAAGGTTGATATAAAGCTAGAGCTGTGAACTTTTCATTGATGCAAGTCTTTTGAAATTTTACACAGTCAGCTCCACATTTCTGAAATTCATAATTTAATATTACTGATGTCATTTTCAAATGTCATCGAATAAAATATTCCAGTTAATATTAACCAAATAGGCTCAGAATTAACCTTGTTTGACGTAAGTTGAACTTACTTTCGCAAGTTTTATTAATTTTTTCGCCATCATTATATCGCCTTGGTGATTTTGACCAATTTCAGCGATGATATAACATGGACTTTTAAAATCCAGTCGCCTACCTAAATTTAACTCTATGTTATCGCCTGATTGAATTGCGATGTTTTTTGTTGCATAGTTTGAAAAAGACATATATTGAGAATAGTGTTTCAATCTAATGAAATAGTTAAATGCTTTCTTTATATTCTTAAGATTTTTTAACAAAAATTTGCTTACCCGTCAAAATCTGATACGAAAATAGGATCATCTTCGTCAACTTCAGATAAGAGTTCTCTACCAATCACTATAGGAAAGTAAAAACCACTCATGCTTTGCGTGGCGCTTACTTTTATTTTTAAATCTTCTGCTTTCAAAATTGTTCCTCTTTCTAAATCATGCGCTGCAACAATGCTCTTGAATAGTTTTTTAAAACAAGGCCATTCCGACGTTGATAGAGAATCCTTCTTTCCAGTACCTAGCGCTGCCTCAACTGTTTTCATATTCGCTACCATAGTTTTAAAATCCCTAGCATTTATAGACATCAAATGATCAAAACCAGACTGCTTGTCATCCAATGTAAATTTACACGATATAGCCTTGAGAGCAAAAATTATAACTACTTGTAAAGTTCTGGTGTTTCGTTGAAATTAAACATTTTTACTATTTTTTAAATTAAAAAGTAAATAAACAAATAATAAATTCGCAAATTCAAATGCCCTACTAGAGTACACTAAGAACAAATCAGCTGAAACGGAGATCAGGATTATCCTGAGAGAACCCTCGACCGTGTCATTATTTTATAATTGGGGTTTTCAACTTTCTTGTTGTAGTCATATAAAATGTCTAAATTAAGCAATAATTAAATAAGTATTTTTTTAATTTTTAGTAATATCTCATCAAAACATAGTTAAATTAAACTAAGTTCATATAGAAAAATTGAACAGAGAAAGTAGCCAGTTGTCTTTATTTCTTTATTTTGGGTCTCTAGGTGAAAGAAATTTCATCTGAAGGCACGAGAAATAAAAGTTGACTTTTGAAAAATCTAAAATATCGTTATTCTTTTACATTGTTTATTATATTGTTTAATATTTCTTTTTTTGATTACGTTAAAAATCAATTCTTGAACTGGACTAATTTGTGCACTTTTGTCCACGACCGCCCAAATAAAAAAATTTATGTATATTAAATGAATTTTTTTAATGATAAATAAATGCATGGAAATGCATACTTTAATTCCTATTGCAACCACTATTTCAGGCAAACAAGTAATTTTTTCTTGAAAATCCCAAAATTGCAGTTGATGTTTAGGATACTTTTCTTGTATTTTCTCCACTAAGTCTATTCCATCAGAATTTTTATTTGTACTTCCACGTGGTTTCCAACAGTTTTCGGTGATTTCTTGATAAACATCGTTGTCATCAGATCCATCATCAGTCTTTTTAAATCGTTTTATTGGAAGAATATGTCGTATTGAACCCTAAAAATTCATTAAAATTAGCAGGTCTGGATTTAGACCTATATGGGCCCGGGGATAGTATCTTGAAATGGACCAAATATGAAAATTATCACTAACATAAAAAAAATTGATGAGCAACGAAACATAATCGAAAAACTGTATGTTACTAATCATGACAGGCTAGTAAAATTCAAAATGAGCCCCAGAGCGTTCGCCCGTTCCCTTTTTCCTCTTTATTCGGGCATGAAAATCAGTTTTGGCCAAATGGGAGGTGATTAGGGGGATAGATCCCCCATTGACTACCCTATTTGACATTTTCGTATAAATTTTATATTTTTTAATAAGAAGAAAAACGCTATTTATGCAGCCTTGGATTAATACAGCCATATCCCCTGCACCTACAAGTAATACGCTTTCAAAGAAAAAGAACTTAGTGTTATATAACTATAGTGATAAATAGCTATTTATCACCTGCAGTTTTTATTTGTGTTGTAATAAAAATATTCTTTACAGTTTTTATGAAAAACCTTTTCTTGGGCCGATTAAAAAATTTGGGCTCCAGGCCCTAAATATATATAATCAGGGCCTACATTTATGTACATCCATTAGTTCACAATAATATCCTGATACAGCTAACACAAATAATAAAGCTCTGAGATATAAGATTACAGCACCCACTAAATTTTTTATCATAAAAGTTTTTCTTCACCTCCTATAACAAAATCATTTGACACCCATTTATTAAAATAATTTATAATTTATAAAAGTTATTTCAGGAATTAGATATGTCTGTTTGAAATCTTGATAACTAACCACAAACGATTTTGTAGAAAAAGTAGCACCATTGTCTTGTGCTATTTTGTGAAAATGTATGAAATCTGAATTTGAAAATGTGCTAGTACTTTCATCCAATTCCATGTAGATAAAATCAGCTCCACATTTCTAAAAAATTATCATTTTTTATTAATAATAAATCATATCATGAAAAAATTAAGATTAATTAAAATTTGACTAAGACAAAAGAACATAATTTACAAAACATCACGATACACTTTAATATATAGATGTATTCTAGTCGATTTCATTATTTTGAAAGTAGAATGGGGTAAAAAATGTATTCATTATTTTTATTTGTTATTCTGTTGTAAGTTAATTAATATTAAGTGATATCTTTAAACTGCAATAATCAAAACACATAGGATATTGAACATTATTTTTATTTTATATACAATAGCCAAAATTTTTTATCACACAAATATTGAATTGGTGTTAAGTAAATAAATACAAAAAAAATTATTTTTTATTATTTTATTATAAGACAAAATAATTGTATAAAAAACCGCGTATAAAGTTAACCACTTTTTTATAAATTGGACTTATACGGTGCGCATATAAAATTGTATTAATAGAAGTGCACAGCACATCGGACAGGTGCTAAAACCCGTGTAGCCTGATGCGAACATTTTTGAAAAGTTTTTTTTTTAAGTAATTAGCAATTTAATTTGTATGTCAACTTAGTAGCATGGAGACCAAGTTCGCTTTGAATAAAAATTGAAAACATAAATAATAGGTAATTTACAACTAGGTGAGATAAGAGTAATCGTCAGTTGATATTACTCAACTTAGTAACTTGAAAACTACTACAATTATTTAAGTAGATATCATTAAAATCTAATTTTACAATCCATTTTGAGATTACCTAAATCAAAACGTAACTTTAGATTTTACCTCTGAATTAATGATTAATTTTAGCTTCAATACAAAACTGACCAAGTATTGATTTTATCATACAGAAAAAAATTACAGTTAGAATAACTGTTGTCATTATATTAGCTGTTCATTTTTTCCGTGCATATGTCTTTTTTATGTCTAGCAACGAAAATTCTCAGCTCTCACTAAACAGATTTTGTTGATTTATGTGCCAAAATTACCCAATTTTATTCAAGTTAAACTTACCAAAGTTGAAAATTTGAAAAATAAAAATCTCTCCATTTTAGAAATTTAGAAATATATCTCATATTCCGTTACCGTAAAAATGATATTTTCAAAAAAATTTTTCTGCATTTTAAAATTGCTATCACTTTTTAGCTTCGGTGCGAAGCTGAAAAGGTATTAATTTTACTATGATGTGTTTTTTTTATAATTTTTTTTTTTAGTGTGTGTCTGTTACCACTCAATTTTAGCTCTCGCTGGACCGATTTTTATGAATAATACGTCAAACGATCATAAATTGTATCTAGTCGAAGACATTACCCTCAAAAATTGAAAAAAATTCCTTCATTCTCCGTAAATCGGGGAAATCTACAAAAAAATAACAAATTTAAAAATCGCTAATTTTTGAAATTTTCTCAATTTTTTTTTACTTAAAACTGCCATAACTTTATCAAAAATAACCAAATCAATATAATTATAAAATGAAAATTCCTTTTTTATTGTATTATAATTAATAAAAAATTAATTGTTTTATAAAAAAATATATTTGAAAAGTATGTAAAGACAATCTTCATATATTCATATTTTCAAGAATATCTTATATTTTAGCTTATGCATTAATTATAAAAAAAGGTTTATTAAAAAGTTTTTAATATTAAGATTAAGGCTATCAATTTTCAACATAAAATTTTAAAACTAAAAAATTTGTATTCTACAGTAAAAATCAAACTATTTTGATATACTAATCTTAGTATTTGACCAAAAATTGAATAATTTATTCTGAAAAAAAAATTTGACCTCTGGATTTGTCTTCATGTTTAAAATGACTACCGTATTCAAAAATATGATATTTTTGCGTTACAATTCTGGGTTATGTATTTTATTTTAATTAAAATGATTTTAATCACTGTTAGATATCATCTATACTTGTCCCAACTATACCACGTCCATACTGTGCCGCGACCCCACTGTGCTACCGTTTTTTTTTTAAATACTGGTCCTAATGTAATTCATTTATAAATATCTCTAGTACTACCGATATATCAGCAATACTAGAGAAATTTTCCGTCTAAGTAATAAAAATTACAATTTTTACAAAATTCTATACATATTTTCAATTTTTAAAAATTTCAAAAGAATCTCAAAAATCGGAACCTATACTTAACAAAAGTTTTTTAAACATACGGTATTACTGAAAGAAAACGTTTTGATGATTTATCTACTATTAAAAATATGACCACTGAAGCCAAAATTTACATAAGTTATTGATATTGTGTAACATATTAGTTTAAGTATTCATAAGGCTAATTTTTAATAACTAGTTTGTGTGATTAGTTTGATTATAATATGACGCATTCCCACGGTGATGGGTTTTTTAATTGTACAGTTGTTTGATCAAATAATTCTTTGACAAAATGTTAATACTTAACAAATCTATGATAAATATATTTCAATAACCATAATATTTGATCATAGCTCAAGATACGATATGATCATTATTTAACTCCTATTATTATTAATTAATGAATAATTTAACATATAGCCAATGTTTCAAAATCGTGTAATGATGTTCAAGTTTTAATACTTAAGTTAGCCTTTTATTTGATAACAAAGTATAGAAAAGTAAATCACTGCATAAAATAAAAAGTATTTAAGCATCATTTATTTATTATAAATTATTTAAGTACTTAAGAAGTTAAACAAAAATTGGATTTATTATTATTCCAATGGAGGACAGTATTACACTCCTATTCAGATAATTCATTTTAAAATTGTTTTAGAGAGATAAGTATATTTTATGAGTTCTAAATAGTTTCTATTATAAAAAAGGAAGTTTTAAGTATAATTAATAATCACAATTTATAAATTAATGACATATTTTAGATAATAAATTATTAAAAAAAACTATATTATCTTAAATTATTATCTTTTTTTGGTTATAACTTTGAACTAAAATGCATTAAAAATATATATTGAGATCTAATTACACTTACGCATGCTTTTTCAATCATCTCACAAGCAATTTCCACATTGCCTTCATGGTTTGTAGACAAGTTTGCTATCACGTAAGTCGGATTGTTATGAATATTCTTCACCATACTGTTTCTTGTATCATTTACAAAAAATATTTAGATAGTTAATATTTTGACGACGAAAGTAATACAGCTTAGTTACGATAAACTTGGAGAGTATTGATTTTTGCCGCCACAAGTGATAAAAGATGTTGTAGATTCCAAAGACTGTCTTGATTATTATCAATTATATATGATAACAACTTATACCAAAACAAAGTCACTAACAAATATAAAATATAATATTTTGATTTTCTGTTAATGTTGTTTTAAAATTATGGAAATTATTTATTAAGTTAAATTTTTGCAGTAAGAATGTCATCTAAAGATAGCCTTACATCTGTTTTGTCAGAATGTGAAGAATTTCAGGCTAAAAGAACCAACTTATTTGCTGTATTAGATCAAGCAGAAAAAGATTTGGAATCAAAAATTCCAAAGGCAGCAGTAATTGACACTCATGACATACTTAACGGTCGAGTAGAACGCAATAGAAGTAATCGGTCACTAACTAAACAATTTCGTGGAAAAAGTAGCCTATTTGCTAAACCAGATATACCACCATGGCGTATATTAGAAAAAAATAAAATGCCCGATTATAAATTACATCCCCATAAATGGACTAAGTACTCATTAGCAGATGTTAATGAAATGAATGACAAAAGTAATGCAGCTGCTGCTTTTGCTTTTTTAAAAGAAATGAAAACGAGAAAAATAGAAAATACTGAAGAGAATTTGGAAAAAGGAACAAAAATTGTATTTAAACGAGTTGAAAAGTCCAAAGAAGAAGATTTAAAGCCATTTTATAAGAGTAGTAAGTTAGTTATGCCAGAGTATGAATTTGGAAAAAAAATTAAAAAAAAGAAAACTGTATCAGATCGTAAAATAAATAGTAATACTATAACAACCATTAAATTAGGACATTTAATAGATGAAGAGGATATTGATGACTAAAATTGATGAAATTTTGTAAAAACAGAAGAATGTAAAAAAATATTGTATCATACTTAACACTAATATTAATATATTTAAAAAATATTTATATTAACATATGTATTGAAATTATGTTTAAATAAAATGGTAGTTTATTTGTTACCAAATAAAATAATTTTTAATATTTTAATGCAATATGAAATATTTTATTGACAGTAAATTTTTTTTTAACTTACAAAAAGTCTAGATAATAGTGTGAAGATAATCAAGTTCAAATTTTAACATACAAGGGGCCAAAACTTATAGTGATTTTTATCTTACAAAACTTTTATTAGGTTAATAAAATTACTTTAGGATAAGTATTTATTGAGTTATAAAATACTTCAATACATAGTGGGTATGTAGCGAGGGTGGATACAACTTGTACTGATGTGTGTGCACTCCATCAATATATTTTAAAGAAAAAAGCTATAAAATGACCATTTTGAAATTTAAAAAATATAATATTTTGGCATATATATTTGTTTCTTAATTTTTTAATGGTTTAATATTTTATACGTTTGTAACAACTTTTCATCCAGTAGTAAAGGAGTATGAATATTTTTATATGTGGTGAAAGAAATAACGTGGCAGTGATGCACCATAAAAATAACTGATTATGATAGCAACATGATTTAAGTTGTATTTAGTAGAATAAGAGTTCTATTTTAAAGGGGAACTGAGATATGATATTACCAACATAGTTGGTTTTTTTACAGTAATTTTTTAATAAAGAATTTTTTTTTATTATTATTAAAAATGTTAAATCAATTACCTGTATATATATACTTTTGAGTTCATTAAACTATATGTAATAATATTGTACAAAAATATCAAGATATAATACTCATCATTTTCATAAAAACTGACTTTTTTTTATAAAAATAAATCTATCTATTATTTTATAAATTATTAAAATATTGTTGATATTTAATAATTTATTTTATAATATACAACATTTTCAGCTTAAATAAAGTATTAAAAAAAAAAAATGTATTTAAATTTAGATTTAAAGTAAACCTACCAATCAAAATTTTTTTAGAAATTTATATATACATTAATATTATTAGTTCAAAATTAATCTTCAATTTTAAACTTCAATCCTATAATATAACAAAGTTATTTTAAGCAATGTTTAAAATAAACGAATAACAATTAGTTACAATTATAATACTATACCAAAATTGTAAGTAAATTTTAAATCTATTAGGTATTTCTTAATAACAAAAACCGTTAACTGGTTATACTTTTAGATTTTTTAATTGTAGCATTTAATAATAGAATATGAACAAAGTATTTAACAAATATACTTTTAAATATTTCAATTTCTATCTTTAATCTATGTTAATCTATCATAACAATATATAATAAACATGAAATATTTAATAAAAAAATATGAAAACAAAATGGTCTCCATAAAAAAAAAGTTGCACAATAAAACATAAATATTTATATGTACATGTAATAATTAATACTTCATAACCATTTTTCAAAAATACATAATTTATAAATCACTTATTTTAAAGATGTTTAGTGAATATTTGGTTAATAAAATAGTTATAATAATAATTAACAAAAATTCTACAGATATATAAAGAAGATTTAGATTAAACATATAAACAAGTTTAAATGTGTGATGAATATTATAAAATTCTTACATAATTTTACACAATATTAAAAAAATAAACTATACAAAAATATGTAAATCACAGTTTTAAAATAAATAAGGCACAAAATTCAGATGGTAGATTTTTTTTTTTGTCAACTAAAATTTCAAAAGTTATTCTACAACTATTCTTATTAGTTTACAATACTATCATTATGAGAGTTTATTTTATTTAATTTTTGGACATTGGTAAAGTAAATTCAATAATAGTTATACATTTAACAATTTTTCTGTCATGATGGTTTAATATTTTATTACGATTAATTAATATTGGTATTTATTTGAAATATTATGCCTTAATATAAGGGTGTGTGGCAATATTTGGTGGTATAATGTACACAATTCCATCATTAGTATCTTTACGAAAACTTGCACTAGATGTTTGAGGACTTACTTCAACTCTTAACATTCGTGATTTTTTACCCAACATGCAATTGAATTTGTTAGATACATTAACTGGAAGTTCTGTATTTCTTAATCTACATAAGTTTTTAGTTTTTAATTAATAATAATTTAAAAATCAAGGTAAATTTATATTAGCTTACTGGAAATAACGAGTACTGACAACTCCAATAAGCTCACCAATTCTGTCTTCTGTCGAATCTGCAATTGGTTTTAAAGTAACTACAAGATCATTACCACGATTTGAATGTATGACAACTAATTGATCTTGTCCAGGACTTACGCTTAAACCAGTTACCTATAATTATTTATAATATAAGAGATATGCAATGAATAATATATAATGAAATATAGAGACATCAATATGAGTAATTTTATACACACAAAAATCAATTATTATTATAAACATATAATAAAAAATTACTTCTTGAATAGGCATTCCTTTTTTCATTGGTTTAAATTTTGTGACTTCTAATTTATAAATAGCCCAATCAGTTATTAATATTGCACGGTCTGCACACTTATTGAATCTATTGGTTTTATGGATAAAACTTGAAAATAATATCTAGATATACAAATTTATTTATTAAAGAAAAATTAATTTTTTTTTTATATTATTTAATTTAATTAATGAGATAAAAAATATAATTTACTTGATCAAATCTATCAGAGTTTCTTAAGTTATTCAAAGCAACTGAATAGTTTGCATTCTCAAGATTTTCTGTTGGTGATGATAAGTAATCTCCTCGCCATAAACGTTCTCCTCCCCAACTTGATCGTTTTCCTTTTAATAGACTTGCAGCATGAATTTTACACCGTATTTGTGGCCATTCACTTCTAGGATGAGGACTTAATAATTTATAAGCTTTCCACCGCTTATGTATAGTTTTCAATGGAAGTTCTAATTGGCGTACAGCGAAATTTGGATGAGGCCAAACCATTGGTATTTTAGAATTATTCATTCTCTCACAAGTTCTATAAATATAAAAAATATTTTTTAAACCATCACTTACAAAAATTTTTTATTCAAATTTTTAATTACCAAAAAAAAAATAGATTATTTTATAGTTTAGTTTAATAAAAGTCGAAATAATTAGTACATTATATAGCATAATGAAATACCATAAAGTAGAACTACTTTTCATCATAAATATAATATGCACCAAAAAAAAAATGTTTAGTATAGAAACTGTAGAGACCTTTATTTATAATTTTTAACTCATTACACACTTAATGTAACACACTCAAATTATAAATTTTACAACTACAACTTCTCTGTAGTTCATTTCTTACACTATATTAGAAACTAATATTTTTGTGCAATGTTATATTTAAGGTACTAAGTATTCTTATTTTATGGTAGTGACTTGAATTGATAACTAATTTAAATGGCAATAATAAATAAAATTTAATTAATAACACAATTATACATATTTCTGTAAAATATTTAAGTGATCAAATGAGTACAATTGAAATATTGCAAAAATGACTCCTAACATTTAAACATCAATATGTATTATACATTATTGGGTAGAAGCAATAACTCACAAACAATTATATATTTTTTTTAAATGTATAGTGTTTTATTTTTTAACAATATAATGTTAATACACACTAAAATATTAATATTTTATATATTTTAACTATTTATAAGGTTTTTATAAATATTTAAAAAAAATTAAATTTTACTGTTAGTTCACTTGCTAAAGTAAAAAATATATTTTTGGTAAAAAATTTTAAAACATACATATATATTTACCGATATGCCTGAAGGACAGATTTAATATAATTTAGAATTTTATAGCGGCGGTAATACTGAATAATGAAGTAGGCAGCTTTCATTTTTCTAAATCTAGCTCTACAAATAGCTCCACGCCATTGTTTTTGTAATAACACAACTATAGCTGGAATCAAATCAGCCCTCATCTATTTATAAATAAATAAATAGATAAATTTATTTAATGAATAAATATATAAAAAAAAATTTATCAGTTTTACATCCTTCTATTTCTCAAACTTAACATGCTACAAAGGGTGGAGGTTCTCTTTCACATGTTAGGAAGTCAAAGATAGATAATTCTTGACTATGATGGCTAAAGATAGACGCAACGGGTATAATGGACTCCTTGCACCAGACACCACCAATGAAAAAATCACAAGAAAAATCTCGTTGGTACCCTGGGGATCAAACCTGGGACCCTGTGCATTGAAACATATGTTTCTACCCACTAGGCCAGGCCAATCCCTATATTTATATGTTTAATATTATTAAAATAAATAAATATATTTTTATTAATAAAATTAAAGGAATAAAAATACATTGTTTACCTTTTCTAATGAAAATAATGTTTGAGGAGACCTGATAAATATTTTAGTTTTACCGTATTTGACATCATTAGAAAAATTATTTTCATCTATCAAAGCTCTAGTAGCCTCTTTATCACTACATCTATAATTTGGCCAAGTAAAACCACTAATCATTTTGTATCTAAATATAGATTTTTAACTCAAATTAGTTTGGTAACTTTACTAATAATAAAAATAATATACCTCTTAAGGAATCTACTGTAAGGTTGTCTATGTGCAAAACCAGCACGACGTACTCTAATATTTTCTAATAAACCCAAATATGATACTTGATGAATAACTCTCTTATAATCAATACCAACAGGTGATTTATTTTCATTTGGTTTGATACATCTGACATAATAAGGTGTTTTACTGTTTAAAGTTTTGACTAGAGCAATCATTGAGTTCTTAAAAGCACTTCCAGCAGTTACTGGTCTTTTTGTTGTCTAAAAAAATTTATAAATAAGTAATACAACCAATTATTTTAAGTTTAAAGAAATATAGTAAATACATGAGTGAACAATTTTATAATTGTAATGATTTAGAATTTATTATTAAGACAGAATATGTAGATGATGTAGAATTTATTTGTTAGAGAGGTAGGCAACAACTGCCTATGCAAGACGATGTAGAATACTTGGTTTACAAAGACATGATTGACAATATGGAACCTGACAATTAATCTCTAATTATTATTATTTTGTAGTTATTTATTTATCTATTTTTTTTTCTCTTCCTTTCTTTTAATTAAAAATTTTATTTTATTAATTTTTCAGTTTGACATTAAAGGCTCTGTTAACAATAATTTTAAATAATGATTAATTTTTTCTAATTTTGAGTATACTAACAATTATTGCCGCATTTGTTGTACTGTTATTATGACTGTTGTACTTTTTAATTTTGCTTATAATTTTTGAGCTAATTATTATTTCAATAAAGGCTATTAAAAAAAAAAAAAAAAAACAATTTTAGGATTACATTACGTTTATATTTTTTCAAATTTAAAATTGTTGGGTCTGTTTCAATTATGTACATTTATAATTAGACTTTTAAAAATCTGGCCTGGCTTATCTAATTATTCACAAGACACTTATTAGCTTTATGACCTAGGCCATTTAAATTATTATACCCACCCATGTTCAAGCTAAATATTTTTTTTAAACCCAGTACGACTGACCATTACCATTAAGGCTTAGGAAACTCTCAGAGAGCCTATACATGAGTTTCACTATATCCTTTGGTCAGCACCTTCTTGTTAGATTAATAATACACATCACACAACATAAATAATATTAAGGAGTTCCTAACAGACGAAATTATCATTATAAACTATATATATATCATGAAAGTAATTAAATTTTATCATACTGATTTTATATCAAGTGCTCCTTCAGGCCACATTTCTTTGATGATAATATTTTTTGATGAATAAAGAAGTCGTTTAAAGTCTTGAAATAAGGTATCTTTATTTTTTTCCAAAAATCCATAAATATTATACACAACATCTCCAGCATAGTGTCTAAAAAGTGATTATGAAATATAATATAGTATTTCAGAAAATGTTTAAATTTGTTTATTAACTGGTTTAATTTTAATTAAAGTAATTAATCATGTAATCAATCAACAAGTCAATAATTAATAAATCAAGAATAAATTACACAAACAATTACAAAACTTATTACCGAATTTTAAATTGAACTTTATGTTTAATATCTTTGTCTAATGTATTAACTTGTCTACTAGAATAATGTTTATGATGTGATAGTTTTGAATCCATGGCTTCTAATAACATCTAATAACAAAATGAACATTTAAACAAAAAAATTTTATTAAGTACTTCAGTTTAATACTTCATCATTTATTTTTCCAACATTTAGACATGCTTCATCCATAATAGCTATAATACCCTGATGTGATTTTTCAACAAGATCACATATAATTTGATTGTTGAAAAATTTTACTTCTTGCCATGCAATTCCTTCTTTTTGATATTCTTCTTGTTCTTGTCGCAATACCAAATCTAAATATTAAAACGAACATAAATAAGAAATTAATGATACTAAATAATTCACAAACAAGTATAAATTGAAATTAAAATAAATAAATTGTTGATAAAATATAGTGATCTCAGTTACTGTAGTAAAGTTCTTAACATACCAATAAATACTTGTTGCAGTTTTTCATTACAATAATTTATACAAAACTGTTCAAAACTATTTTGTTCAAAAACTTCGAATCCATAAATATCTAATACACCTATTACTGTACCGCCTTTATACTTGTCATTTTCAATATATGGTACTAAAGCTTCATTTACTTTACTAACAATCCAAGTAAATAACCGATCATAAATTGCCTAAAATTATTTAAGTTATTAATTTTAAAATATATATATATTTTAATATTGTTTAAAATATAGAAAAGCTAAAGGTATAGAATATTTTTTTTTTCATTAAAATTTTTATAATATTAATGATTTTTATAAATTTTAAGAAAAGTAAATTTAACAAATTTACATTTAAGTAACACAAATAATATTAGGATTACTGTTAAAAAAAAATGTAACTCTGATTTAGGGATGAAGGAAATTGTTTTACTTTTGATCACATTAATCAATACAAATCTTTAGTTTAATCACCTTTTTTTATGTATAACTTATTTTTTTTTTAAATTATTGTTTAATCTTAAGACTACCTGTATAGTGTTGACATAACTAAAATAGTTGCATCATAATTAAAATGCACCTCTATAAGCCAAATATTAGAATGATTAAATCACTTTTTTCCAGAATGAACATTAAAAAACCCTATTTAAATGTAAGTATTATAAAAAATTATTTACAATATTTATTAAAAACCAGTATACTTTCAACCCTTCAGTTTTTTTTACAATATTCTATTTATACTTTAGCTAATGCATCTCTTCCAACTTCTGCTTGAGAAAGAGTATGGTCTTTTTGTAGAACTTCTCCATTGGCTGCTATAATACGAGTACTTAAAGCTTTTATTAGATCATTAACATCAACTTCTAGTAATCTGGAAACTTGTTGAACAGGATTACTATGACTATTTGTAACAGTAATAGTATCTTCATTATCAGAAGAAAATATAACATTTCCCTAAAAGTTGATTAATAATATGATTTATATTAGTACAGTTTAGATAGTTAATTTAATCAAAATTAGGTGCTAAATACATATACTTACTAGTTGTAAAATTGCCGCAACAATATTCCAAATAGTTTTAATATCAGCTGCTGAAAAACCTAACGTTTTACAAGCATTGATAGTTGCTTGGAAATCTGACTTGTCAACTGATGTAACTGCAGATTTGCCTTGTCGAGTATAAAAATAATGTTGTGGATCTGGATTAAGACCTAAATTACTCATTTCTCTGTGAGTAGTATTTGCTAAAATCTAAATCAGAATCCAATAAACAATTTGTTAAAACAATAAAATACATTTTTTATTACTTGATAAAAGCTATGAAAATTCCTTTCTCCAATCTGTTGTTGGATAACACGAGATTTTTCAAGCAAATAATTTACAACATGACCTCCAATTGGATCACCTTTAAAATCAAAATTGATATCCATGTATTTTCCAAATCTTGAAGAATTATCATTTCTATTTGTTTTTGCATTTCCAAATGTTTCAAGAATTGTGTTGGACTGAATCAAAATATTTTTAACTCTAAATTTTTTAAAATCATAAATTAGATTAATACTCTTTTGTTAGTTAAAAAAATATATATACCGTTCTACTTCTTGTTGACCACTTGCATTAGTGACGGCAGCAATGTACTTCATAATAATTTTAGAGGCTTCAGTTTTACCACTACCAGATTCACCACTTATTACTATACAAGAATCTTGGCCATGCATTTTCATGCTACGATGTGCACAATCAGCAATTGCATATATGTGAGCAGGGTTTTCAAAAATTTCCCGCCCTTCATGCAAACAAACATAAAAATAAAAAAGTGAAATTATTAGAATGATAAAAGTGAAGTAACATTTCACCAGTATTTAAAGTAAGTATAAAGTTAAAAAAAACACACACACCTTTGTATTGGTTAACATAATCCTGTCCATATATATTAAGACTTCTGTAAGGGTTTACTGATACACATACTTCTCCAATATAAGTATAAATGTATCCCGAGTTAAACCTAAATAAAAAACATTCATGTTCAATAAATAATCATTTAGGTCTTAAACATTTAAAAAATATAATTAACTAAACATTTTACAATTATTTTTATTTATAGTTAGTTAATAACTTTTATGTGATAGTTATTTAATTTTTCTACTGAAAATTTCATAAACTTGAGATTAATACCTAAATAAGCTACCTTAGGAGTCATTTTACATAGACACGAAAATACAAACAAAAAGAAATGAATAATACTCTTTATTTACTCAGTAAGAGTATTAATACTCTTTAATCATGTTTCTTTGGCTCTTCCCAAGTACACGGTAATCAGCCCAATGTTCTCAAGTTAGTGAGGCACTTTGTGATATCCTCCACAGCATGACAAAACAGACACACACACACACAAGTATTTAAAACTAGAAAGAAATACCGCCCTCAGCCTGCTGCCAAGGGTCTCCTTGACAATTCAGATTATTTATACTTAAATTCTAATGCTCTACTAAACTAATTATAAACAAGTCAATGTTTAAAAATTATAAACAAAATAAATAAATGACATAACTATACTAAACATACTAGATCATAATTTAATGAAGCATGTGAAAATTTTGAGGATTTACTATTTTATCATAGCTCAAAAAATTTCCTCAAAAGAAATATATAAACTACTGAATAAAGGGGATCTGTGGCAAAAATGTATTGCTTATACATAAAGTTGAATATATTAAATAGAAAAAATAAGTAGTTACATACGTTGAAATTGTATCTAATTAATAATTAATAAATAAACTTGACTAAATATTTTTTTAACATTCTATTTTATTTATAAAACAGATATCCTAGTAAGGTGAAAACAAGAATAATAAAAGTTTGTTATTTTATTTAAAAAGTAGAATAACCCAATTAACAAAAAATTAAGCCAACTAGAGTTATAAAATTTTTCTAAACATTTACACTAATACTCTAAATTATTCTCTTTATATTATATATATATAGGATGTTCAGTAAGTAAGGAAACGGGTTTCTATTGTTCTCATCGTTTGTAACAAATGACCTGTTTCCTTACTTACTGAACACTCTGTATAATTAATACTGGGAAATTCCAAAACATCATTTTTAACTAAATTATAGAATAAAAAGTTTCTATTCTAAAATGATTGATAAAACTCTTATTCAGAGTGTATATATAACCCTGCGCTAAGCACTTAAATACACTTGTAACATTATTATATTACTCATAAAGTAATCAAAATACAAAACTTTGAAAAATTCAACTTCTAAAGTGGAATATGTATTAGTTTTTAAATTTTTTTATAATTTAAAAATTAGTCTCTTTTAAACTATTTAAAAGATAGACAACATTTTCTGGTGTTATTATTTTGGACAGTATTACTTCTAATAAAATAATTATAATTGCATTAATGATTTTCCATTTATCATTTCTTAGCTTCGATGCGAAGCTGAGAAGGTATTAATTTTAAGGTAAAAATTTCCCTCGCTCCTCATATACGAAGGGGGTCAAAACTTTACACATGCATATTGAAACTAGGACATTTTCAATTTAATGTTTGAAATAATTCCAGAAATACTGACATTTTTATATATATCTCAAATTGAAGCTTATGTAATATACTTTAATTTGGAAAAAAAAATTTGACCTATGGATTTGTCTTCATGCTGAAAATGACTATCGTATTCAAAAATATGCTATTTTTGTGTTAAAATTCTGGGTTTTGTATTTTATTTTATTTTAAAATACCTGACACGGGGAGTACACAGATTTTCATAAATATTATATAAATAAAAAATTGATATAGCATAGAAAGTTAAACTTATTTAAATTTTTTTGCTTTTTTGAAGTCGAGAAAAATAACTTTGAAATTTTAACTAGCTTAAATTGCCATTTTTTTCAGTCGACGGAAACGACACAAGCTAAATAACACTTGTGTTTTGCGCGCTTGTGGTACAAGGTTCCAACCCATGTATAGCAAGAAATTTTTTGTATTTTTTTCTTAATTCTTTTTAAATTAGAATAAATTATCAACTACTTTGATTTTTATCTCTTTTAGATTCAATAACTTCAATTAAGATCAAGAATCCCATCATTATAGTCACCCGTCGCGAGAAGAAATTTCTTATTCATATTAAAATTATTTTACTTTATTTTAGGTTTTAGCTTCAATGCAATGCTATGACGGTATTTTTTTTAGACTATAATTTATTTTTTCTGCTTTAACTTGACTTACTTTTTTCAAAGATACGTCAAATGATTACAATTCGTATCTAATTGAAGATATTACCCTCAAAAATTGAAACAAAATTCTAATTTATCAATTACTTATACCATGTTTTCCATACAGACAAATAAAATCATTCATTTATAATGTTTTCAAAGTACTTATTGACGAATCAAGTTCGATATGATAGATTTCAATTACAAAATTAAATCATTTTACTTTGTAATTTAATAATTTTTTTACTCTACTTGTGTGTGCTACTACTAGACTATAATATTCCAAATTTTTTTGGTATCATGTTGCTATATAAATAATTTCTAAAAAAAATGATTGTTAATTTCTCTTGAATTAACAATGGATTTTTAGATCTTTTTAATAACTTTTTTTGATTAGTTATTTAAGTTAAAATAAATCATTAAAATTAATTCAGTTCATATTTCAATTGTAGAATCTTTTTAAGCAACAAAAGTTACTGGGAAATTATTACTATTATTTCTATTTAAGTTATCTATTACAATAAAAATGGAAAAAATATTTAGCTTTTCTGATAAATTTACTATAAACAACAGTTGTTATAAAATTTCCTGGCTCAATTATAATTTTAATGATACAATTTTTTTAATTCTCATAAAATTTCCTATTTAATGATGTCAATTTCAAACTTACAAATTGAGCTAAAAGTTATGGTAATAAATTAATTTTTTTTAATTATAAGTTTCCACAAAATAAACTTTAAAGGATTAAAAAAAGGTTAAATATGTCATTTTCCTTATTTTTAACATATTAATAATCGAAATCAGTATTAATTTAAAACAATTTTTTTTTGTTCTTAATTATTTTTTTATATGTAAATACTTATTTTTTAATAATAAGTAATAATATTAAAACATAGAAGTGATAGAAAAAGTCTAATTGCACATTTGAAAATATCGCAAAAAGTTGATTTAGAAAAGTATATTTTTGTTTCTGATGAAAGTTTCTTGTAGTCCAGTGTATAAAACTTATAACTTTGTTATAAATAACAAACATTTTTTATTGAAAAATATTGAATCAAGCCCTTTAAATTTTTATACGCTTTAAAAGTAAAGAAATATACAACTACTTTACTATTTTCATAATATCTTCGTAAAAATTACAATATTAAATTATTGAATATCAATTTCATACTAAATTTAATTACTATAATTATTATTTATTCATATATTATAATTATAAATCAAAGAACTAATCGGGATAAAATTAAGAGAATAAGATTTATTTTTGCTTTTAAAATAATCTACCAATTTCTTAAAATTAAACACTATTTATAGATTTGCATCAAAGCGTTTCTTATTACAGTGATTAAAATCACTGTCAGATATCATCTATACTTGACCGAACTATGCCTTTTCCATACTGTGGCGCGACCCCACTGTGATTCCGTTTTTTATTTTTGTAATAAAATTATAATTAAATAATAAAAAATATACTTGAAATTAGTCTAAGAAGGCAATAGTTATTTTAAAATAACATTTTAAAAATGAAAATTTTGGGCTATAATTTTGTCGATAAGTGAAAAAATATTTTACAATGGACATTATAAAAAATGCAAAAAAAAAAGTTATTTATTTATTAATTCTCAGGTGCTATTATTTAATTTATTTTAATAATTAAAGATAAAATAATAAATATTTATTATATAATTGTAAAAACATTGTTAAATTGTCAAATTTTCATGTTCAAACATACAGATGCTTCTAGAAAATATTTTCAATACTCTACCTAATACTTAGCACTCTAATCTTAAAATTCTAGATACACTACTGTTTAAGTAAACATATATAAATAAATAATAATTATAATAAAGCCCAGCATAGTTAAAATTATTATTAATCAAAATTAATTTTAAAAATTATTATAAGCATAAGAGAACTTTTAAAATTTGAAGCCAATGACTTTAACTAGATATAATTAGTAGCCTTTCTGAATAATATTTAGAAATAATTGGTTGAGAAGCCGAGAACTATAGGTTATACTCGTTAGCCTCTATCTCAACTATTTGAGGTTATCTCTACCTTAAAATGATTTGACAGGATTTTAATACCTGCTGTTGACATGACATAACCTCATTATAGCTGAGGGAACCAGTAAATAGGTAAGGTGAGTATCACTTTAATAGCACAGACTATATGAAAATATATTTTTATGTCTGTAGTTAAAGTTCCAGAATGGTAACCCATCGAGGAACTAATACCAAATACTGCAACTGAACATCAAGACTAAGGCATAAACTAAATGCACAGGGACATATCACACCCTCAAATTCAAATACATATAAAAATTATATTTATTAATAAACAAGCCACAAAATGATACCTTTCCATAGGAAGAAGATAATTTAAAAATATAATGAATGTTACCACAAGTTAAAAATTTTCATATTTCCTGACTTTCTAAGATTTTCCAGACAATTTTTTTATATTTCATACCTGGTCCTAAGAGTGTAAGTATGAATCATTTTTATGTCTATTTGTTTATGAATTAGAATTTTAAAAAATTTATAATAATTTCCACAATAAAAAACTAAAGTCAAATGTATGATACGTTTAATCTATTTTTAAATTCTAGACAAATTCATTAAAACCCTTGACTTTTCAAGACTATTGAAATTATAATTAATATGGTAAAGAATTCAATAAAAATAAATTAAATATAAAAAATCGGGTAAGATAATTTTTTTTTTTTATTATAAGAACTAATACTTAATAATAAAATATTAACTCAGTTGTTTCTTAGAATAATAACAAACTAACTGTACTTCACATTAAATTACATGATTTAAGTCAATTAAAATTAATTAGTCCAAAATTATTTCTTTTTATTGAACAATAATTAATTTTTTTTTTATAGATATCATCTATCTAACGATGTATATATATATATATATATATATATATATACAAAAACGTAAGAAACTAATTGAAACTAGTTTTTAATTAAAATATACAGAAAGAGATTTAAACATTTGTTATCATAAACAACAGTAGTATGACAGTAATAAAAATACATTAGAAAATAGACATTAACTAAAATATAAAAAAAAAAGAAACTATGCGTCGTGTTATAAATTAAAGTAATGTAATTATCGATAGAAGACAACTGGTGTTAAATTTCAACGATAACGATAAGATGCACCAACAGGTGCATAATCACAAAAAATCTCGTTCATTAATATTATTATACATATAAATTACATTAATTTAGATAATAACGGATTAAAATTGTTCGTAAAGACTAAAAGAATTTGGAAGACTATAGCTGAGTCCGAATATGATCCTCAAGGATGTTTCTACTCTGCATCAAATTCTCACTTTTAACCATATAAAAATACTACAGAACGCTCACACACAACGATGACCTCACATAAAAAACACAATCAAGCGTGTTATTAACATTTTACACGTTTAGTATTTCACAAACATATTACACGGATTAGGTCGTGGCGCTATGAAAAATGACATCATCATGGTGATTTATCAATGACGACAACGATAATTGGTATCTTGCCTACCGGGTATTAGTCATCGATGCGTTATCTCTAAAACTTAAATTATATCTAGGAAGAAATTCTATCATTAAAGTAGATATGGTAGGTATTTTTTGATACCATGAAGGAAATGGAAATTATTTTAATGTTAAGGTAAATTAAGTAAAGAATAGTAAATAAAAATATTTTATTATAAAAAGAACTATTATAAGTAATAACATTTTTGAGGACTTTAACGAGCGATGGCTCTTACCTCAAGGATAGGTTCTCCATAAACTTTTCGATAGTAATTTCATCCAACAGGACAAAGTCTCCTATTCCAGGTTCCTGTTTAGTAGTCATATTGTCAGAAATGAATTGGATTCACTTAGAAAAACTAATAACAATGATATAAAAATAATATATATAAAAAATTTTAATATGATGGACGGATGACGAATACTAAAACGTTAATTTCATTTTTGCAACTTAATTTAAATATCACATAGTACAGAAATAGTAAATTTTTATTACGCGCTTTTCAGTTATCCGTTGGCAATTGTATTTATTGTTTAAATATTATTAACATTACTATTTATGGAGACGATCACGATCCAGAGAAAGACGTTAACTGAATACTGACGAGACACCAGTCAGTGACAACGATTACTAACGGTATTACTGTAGAGTGGAGAAGGTTTAGCCATTGTACAGTCTGTCATGTGGGTGGTAGACACAGTGTCGCCATTGTTTCACGATCAAATTTACTTTTACATAAACCCATAACTATGGTACTGCTAATAAAAAGAAATTATAGATTTTAGCTTTCCTTTACGGGAAGTGTAGCTACATTCATTTCATTTAATAATTTATAATCTTTTATACCGAATCTAAACAATTTTTAAGAAATTTCCAACGGTTTTCGGGTAGCAATAAAATTATGAGTATGCATAAAAATATTTTGTATGAAAATGTATGATTCATACTAAAATAATTATTGATACATTCAATTATAATTTTATTAGCATTATGCATTTTTATTAAAATTTTTAATTTATGCTTATTACTTTATCACATAATTATTCAAATGAATATTATTTTTAAATATCAAATAATATTATATAAAATTTTACTTAATATAAATTGTTTACTANTATTTTTAAATATCAAATAATATTATATAAAATTTTACTTAATATAAATTGTTTACTAGTTTAATATTCTGGACTTGTATGGTTTGTCAGATTATACTAAAAGGAAATATTTAATTTAATTTTGTTTGACTTAAGTTAGTTCAAATAACAGGACGACCATAACTGCAATTTTTTTTTAAGGGTATTAGTAACTTTTTGAAATTTTTTGTTATTTGATAAAATTGTATGCCAATTTAACTCCAAATTTACTTATATAAATATGACTGTAATTAATATATGCAGTTTTTCTATCAACAAAAGTGACCATAAGGTAATTTCAAGAGGAAGAATTAATTATGTCTCATAACCTTTTTTTTTTGTTTTTGTCAATGACCAGTGTTGTGAATTATAAATGCATTTATAAATTTTGTTTGAGTCACTTTGAAAGATCCTAAGTTTGTGCAACTAAGGCTTAGGATTATATAGTAACACAGAGTTATTTTTAGTTTAAGGGGAGGGATTAACCCTCTAACCAAACTATATCATAGAAAAAACACATTACTGAAATTCCAAGTCTATTAAAAATAATTGTATTGGCTGATGGTGTGTTCGAATTAATTTAATGAGATTTATAAAAGCATATAATTAACAGCCTTGCTCATAAACTTATAATTTGACTATATTTCAAAGTAATTATAAAGAAAAATTATAAAAACTTAAATAAAATAAACATTTATTTTTCTAAAGTATCACTTTCGCTGCAGCGATCTTTTTTAGGAGAAAAGACCCAATGGACACTCTTGGCTATCAATATATTGCTATTTGAATTTGATTAATTACTTATACCTATGGTTAAAAAAATTCGTTTTTCGTATCTCCTGAAAATAAGTAAAAACAACTTGTGCTCTTTTTTATAAAAGGGTTCAACTAACATAATCAGAAGTAGATTCATGGAACCAATGCTGCAATTTAGATTTTATCATAAAAAAAAAACATTAAACTAACCATCCACTTTAAATAGTTATTTTCACCCTTTTTTAGTATATATAATTAGTTACTTTATCATAGTTATGCACAAATATATAAAATAATAAATAATTCATCATAAATGAACACTCCCATACAGAAAATTTTACTCATTTAANCATGGAACCAATGCTGCAATTTAGATTTTATCATAAAAAAAAAACATTAAACTAACCATCCACTTTAAATAGTTATTTTCACCTTTTTTTAGTAAATATAATTAGTTACTTTATCATAGTTATGCACAAATATATAAAATAATAAATAATTCATCATAAATGAACACTCCCATTCAGAAAATTTTACTTATTTAATTAATAACACTTATCAACGATATTAAAACAAAAAATTGACGTAGAACAAGTAATTTTCAAACAGTAAAATCTATATTTTACTTTATTACCAATGCTTCTTTTTTTATGATCTATTCGTTAAAAAAAAACATTCCTATATTTGTTATATATATTTTTTCCTTCAGATCACCTACAAGGCTATTGGTATACAAAGAACATTTCAGAATCAATAGGATGCCTACTATACAATACATTATTCCGTGGCTTAAACTGTAGTTGCATATTGTTATAAAATGGTGTGACTTTAATTAAAACATAAAAATAGATTTTTTTACTTAGTTTAATTCAATAATTTGTAATACATTTTGTAAACGAATTATTTAGAAATTAGTGGTTGAGAATTACTGCTATTTACGTTGTTCCATGCTGTGACATTGATTTATTTCTTAGGTCAAGGATAATAATAGTTAAACATTTCAGTAAATACTTGTGTCCTGAAGAATTAAATTTTTTTTTTTTATGCGATAAATAAAATTGTACCTCTGAATTTAACAATATCTAATAAAAATAGTTTAATAAATTAAAAATAATATGATATTTATTTAACCTCTTATCAAGATCGCATTAGAAAAAAAATTTATATTAACTAATGGTGACTATACTGTCTGCATTTAGTATAAATTATTTATATAACATGTTATATAAATAACTAATACGATTTCGAGGGTATCAGGCTGTTTGAATACTACTAGTGCGATATTGTTCTGATTAAACTTATTTTACATGGCTATAATAAAAATGGTTATTTGAATAAATATTCGCCTTAAATCATTAATTAGTTAATAATTTCAAGCTAACCACTTTATTATCAAATCTAAGTCAGTTTAAATGGAATATCAATTACAATTAGTAATTATATTAAACAAAAAACATTCAACTATAAAAATTTTGAGAATACTATTGTTATCGTTATCACTAATTGAACCGAAATCTTAGAAATTATGAAATTTTAAACAAGTTAACTATTCTCGCCTAAAAATCAGTATTTTTGTGTTGTATTACGTGTATATAAAGAGTTAATATTATTTTCATTTTGTACTTATTATTTTACTAAGTTACGAGAAAAGTCGTTGTTGAACAAAAACATAAATCTGACTACCTGAATATTAGTAAAATGTTTTATTGAAGTTCTTTGAAAAAGTGATGAGTCAATTGTCAACTTAGTATTTCTAACTAAAGTCATCATGATTCAATATTTTCTCATGCAATCGTATTTAGCTTAACGAGAAAGCAACGACTGAATAGCTACTTCAATTTATAGTTAGTTTTCAATCGAAGGTTGAATTATGCCTTATTTCATTTTGTGGAGTAAGCACTAATAACAATTTATTGGAGGCATCTGTTTATCAAGTTACAGTGCAGTAAAATGTTCCACTTTTTTAATACTCTTAATTCATTGGATGACCATGATTTCTAAAGTGATCATTTATATTGAATTAATTACAGTGAAATGTGTTAGTTGATTGTAGTTCAAATATATATATATTTAACGAATAGAAATTAGATATAATTGTGCACTAGAATCATTTTTATAATGTAATATAACTCTTAAATGTTATTAAAATATACAATACTACACGTGATATTTATAATGATAATTGCAGCGGAAGTAAATGAATATTATGAGAATAACACATTGATTGTAAGAAAAGATATTTTTCATTTTATACAGGAACTCAAAATAAAATCTTTAATCTTTTTAAGTTAAATAAATTAGAAATACACTGGCTTAAACGCAATTCATATTTCTCGTACAGAAGATAATAATTGTTATCAAAATTGTTGATTTAAAATCATAATGATAATTATTCGGCTAATAAATTACTATATAAATTCGTTATAATAATTTAGTTGCCTATTCTTACTATGATATTAATAATAACGTGGTATATCAACTATTTCATGATAAGTTAATGATTAAATGATTTGAAGTATCAACTTGAAAAAATGGTAGATAGATCATACAGTTATAGACTGAATTAATTAATAGGTACATAGAATATTCAGTAAGTAAGGAAACGGGTTCTATTGTTCTCATTATTTGTAACAATTTACCTGTTTCTTTACTTTTTGAACACTCTAAATAAATTTTTGGGTGAGAGGTATGACGGGCCTAGTTATGTCATCATGGTTTCACGTTATTAATACGAAAAAAAAACAATAATAAAAAAACCCAATTTTTAATATAATTTTGGTTTGCCGGCATATCAACTTTGAAAATCTGTAACTTTTGAACTAATAATTTCCGAAAATACTAAATGATATACTTATTGAACAGCGTGTAGAACATCATAGATATCCAGAAAGGATCAATTTTTATAATCATTCTTTATTAAAAAATGTCACAAAATATAATAATTATATTAAAACAATTATTGTTTTTAATAGAAAGTTAATAAAAATATAAATTAATGTAAAAAATAAAAGTATTTAACTTAAATTTATTTGCACACGGTAAATTATCACCACAAATCCCAACCTTAACAACTAACTACAAAATAACTGTTTAATAATTTTTTTATATGCAAGGTTCGTGAAAAGCGCAATAATTTGGACTAGGTTTCCGAGCATCATTAGCAAATTTGAATGAAAAAATAGCTTCCTAATTAACCAGATAATGAATATAAATACTTAAAAATTGTTATTTGCCCTCCTTTGACAAATTTTTGCCAACAACCAATGTCCTTGAAACAGATATTTTGATATAAGAATGTAGTGGCAAAGACAGGAAGCATAGGATAATTATAGAGAGTATAAATTTACCTATTACTATTACTTTACATACTTATCATAAACCACTTAATTAATCGAAAAATTAAAAATTATTTTTTTATTTGTTTTTTTTTAGTTCAATGTTTCTCTCAATTTTTCAATCATTCAGGTTTTTAGCTTCGATGCGAAGCTGAGATGGTATTGGTTTTAATGATGTGTTTTTTTTTGTGTCTGTTACCACTTTTTCTCACTGGACTGATTTCTCTTAACAATACGTCAAAAGACCACAAATCATATTTAGTCAAAGACACTACCCTCAAAAATTGAAAAAATTTCCCTCATTTGAATGGGGGAAATCTCCAAAAAAATTACAATTTTTTTTACTTAAAACTGCCATAACTTTCTCAAAAATGAACAAATCAATATAATTTTTTTTTCATAGATGCTTGATGTCTTTACCT